AAGGACGCTCGATTTTTAAATGTAAATAAAACAAGTTGCGTGTGAGATATCCATTCAATTTTTTTTTTTTTAAAGAATTATTTAAAGAAAGAATATTTTATGGCATTAAGTATGGAATATAATGTCGCTCAAATGTCCGCCGCGGCTTCGCGACGACATTTGGTGACACGTATTCGGGCGGTCCAATTTTCGATGACTTTCTTGATAAATCTGGCTGAATTTGCTGAATGGCGTTTGTTATGTTGACTTTGAGAGCATTAATTGTTTGCAGTTTATTCGTATAGACCTGCGATTTAAGATAGCCCCAAAGGAAGAAGTCTAAAGGCGTTAAACCGTACGATCTCGGTGGCCAGTTCATATCGCCGCCGCGCGAGATAATTATGCCCTCAAATCGCTCGTGCAGAATGTCCCTCGTGGCATGCGGTGTGTGGCACATAGCACGCCATCCTGTTGGAACCACATGTTATCAGTATCCATATCATCCATTTTAGGCCACAAAAAGTTGCTTATCATCGATCTGTAGCGCTCATCGTTGACAGTTATGGCAACGCCCGCTTCGTTTTGGAAGAAGTACAGACCGATGATTCCACCAGACCAAAATCCACACTAAACAGTGACTTTCTCGGGATGCATATGGAGCTGGTGTATCTCGCATGGATTGGTATCGTCTCAAATTCGACAATTTTGCTTGTTCACATATCCAAAAATGAGCCTCATCGCTAAAGATGATTTGTTTGGCGAAATTTAGGTTAACTTCCAACTATTCCAGAATCCAATCAGCGAACACACGGCGTTATCTATAGTCGTTTACCTTAAATTCCTGGGTCAGTTGAATTTTATAGGGATGCAGACCCAAGCAAAATTCCCGATGCAAAATTCGCCAAGTTGAAGTCGCAGAAAAGCCAAATTGACCGCCTCAGGTTTTCTCGTACACTCTCACGCACAGCAGCGATGTTTTCAGCAGATCTTGCGTTTCGGCGACGTACTAGTATGATTATTTATCGAACCAGTTGACTCGAATTTGGCCACTAAACATCGAATAGTCGGCAGGACGGTTGTGGCGAGGATAAAAATCATGTAATGCGCAGAACGTTTCTCGAACAGAGCACTGATTTTGATAATAAAATTTTATGATTTGCACACGTTGCTCAACACTATGACCTTCCATGGTGATGCCATATATTACTAAACAATTCACAACAAATTTGACAGATGTCACTTTAACAACATGGCTATTATGATCTAACAAATTTCGAGCGTCTCTATTGAAAGATCCTATATATATAATTATACATATATAAAATATGTCAATTTTATATGCTTAGAAGAACATAGTGTTCCTTTAATTGGTTGTACCTTTAACCATTTAAATTTATAAAAAAATCTATTGGATATTTATAAAAATAAAAATATATAGTTTGTAGTATGAAAGAGAGAGAGCATCAGAGATATTTTATAATTTACAATTATAATAATGAAGAGAATTATTCCTATGAAAAATCATTTATTGTCAAATGTTCGAATGAAGTAATTTCAAGACGTTTTTTAATCTTATAAAATGTTGTATATGTATTCTATTTTATGTTGGAATTGTCTAAAATATTATATAGACATTCGGAAAAAATTATTTAAATACTGTCAATATTTTTATTTGTCTCGTTTTTAATTTTATGAGATAACAATATATTATTAATTTTATTATTTGATCTAACATCTTTTATATTTATATATTTGTATCAATTGGTAGCGCACGAAGTACAGCGCAGATTCCTATTGCTTTGATTTTGTATATTTGTATTTTGAATTGAAGAAATTTTAATTTTTTATTCTTATGTTAACAAATAAAAAGTAAGCAAGCGTTGTACTTTTAACCAATAATTGATAACGTACATTTGATCAGTCAATATGATGTCGGATAATTATTTAGTTTAGCTGTCTCACTCTATCCAATATTAATAATCTCTATCCAATGTTAATAAAATTATGCTCATTAGATGCAATTTTGAATAAAATGAATGAATCTGCCAAAAAAAGTGTCATTCTGGCTCCGTGAAGCGAGATATTAAACATTAAAGTTAATTTAGTTTTTGACCACTATTCAGGTTAGAACGCTTAAAATATATCCGTTATGTTGCTACTAAAGCCCAAATAATCAACTTTGCAGGTCTATCTACAGTGAACTAATCACGATCAGTGATCCATTATAGATTGGTAGTCAGAATGTGTGGTTGTCGATCGGCTACAGAATCGTAATCTGATATGGCCTTTAATAGCGATAATAACATGTCCTAAGCACTCTAAACTGATAGAAAGCAATTCGATGTTTAATATCTCGCTTCACGACATTATTTTTGTCAAATTCAATCGTTTCGTACAAAAACGACAAATCTGCGTCTTTCTATGGTTAAGTTTATTTTTATATATTTTATATATAAAATTATAGATAGTTAGATAGAGCTCATGTTTATAAAATGGAGGACATTCTTTCTGATACCGACATCTATCAAAAAATTGAAAAGGATCCCACTAGAATATTGACTAATGATCTGCGTAACATTTTAGATGAAAATACAGGGGATTTATAGATGATTCAATGTACCGAAGATTGCACGGATGGTATTATATCCAGAGTTTACGGCTTACCTAAAATTCACGAGCTGGATAATCCTTTGAGAGTTATCGTTTCTTCTATCAATAGTCCATTTTAATATTTTTCTTTTTTTTTACAATATTATTTATGGCAGTATTCCTAAGGTTCCTAGCCAGATTAAGAACAGTTTTCATTTGATTAATAAACTTAATGGTTCTAATTTCGACCTTCATGACTATGTTTTCTGGCCTCATTGGATGTTTACCAATGTTCTCATAGAATTGGCAATTGAGAGCATTGTTAAAAGGTAGGATATCATATTGCTAGTAATATTGCTGTATCTTTAAATGAATTTCTCATTGCCATATGTTTTGTTTTGAATTCAACATTTTTTTTCTTTCAATAATAATTTTTACAAGCAAATTGGTACTCCTATAGGATCACCTCTATCTCCTATTATAGTTGAAATAATTCTATAGGATTTAGAGACTTCGGCTATTGATAATCTGCCAATACAACCTTTATTTAGATTTTATTATAGATATGTGAATGACATTGTCTTGATGGCTCCTTCTGATACGATTGATGACATTCTGAAGCTATTTAATTCATTACAGTAAGATTGCAATTTATCCTTGAAATCCTTGAAATTGATGTTGGTGACAGATTTAATTTTCTCGATATTACTACTATTATCGTTGACAACAATAAAATCATCTTTGATTCAGATTTCAGAAGCCGGTTTGCTCAGTGAGATTCCTTAACTTTCATCACCCTCTTTGTTATAAGAGATGCGTTAGGCATGAGGGCTGTTGATAGGGTCATATTATTATCTCATTCAGATTTCATGAAAAAAATCTTATTAATATTATTCACACTTTCTTAGATAATGATTATCCTCTTCAATTAATTTTTTCTACTATACATAATAGATTGAATTACTACATTCGCAGAAATAATACTGTTTAACCTTCTAATAAAAAAGTAAAAATTGCTCAAAAATTTTTCTCTATCTCATATATCAATCGATTTCTGAAAGCTTTATGCCATTGCTTAAAATGAATTTAAAATTAGCATATTCCATCCCTAATACCCTTAAAAATTATATTAAAAGAGGAAAAGATCAATTAGATTTTTTTATCATCAAGATATCTATAAAATATATTACGAGGATTGTGATGTCAGTTCCGTAGATCAAACGAGTTTAATTGGAAAGTAAGAATTTTGGATAGAAAGTCTTCTTATAATAAGCGATTAATATCTGAGGTGGTTTATATAAAGAAGCAAAGACAAGGTTTGAATAGGCAAAATGACACGGAATCGCTACATAAATATTCTATCTCTCCTATCTCTCTTTTATACAATCCCATTTCTTTTTTAGTTCCTCTTTCTTCATTTTACCCTTTCCCTATTAGTTTCTAACTCCCCCCCCCACTTTTTAACTATATTTTTGTCATTTAGTAATAATAAGTCAGACAATAAAGACGTTCCATCGCAATCTGCTTCACATTTCTATATTTTGATTGAATTTATATATATTTCTATTCCGACTAAATTTATATTTTAATTTTTTATGTCTGAGCTTGTATTTTAACTTTGGACTTTGCAACTTGCTTTATATATTTTAAGATAATGTTTATTTTTACTTTTTATGCTATTTAATTAATTTCATTTTTATTTAGTTTATACTTATTGTTTCTTTATTTTTATCTTCTCATTATTACTATATTGATTGTTTTACTATATTGACTGTTCCTATAATTTTCGACTT